GAGGGTATTAGTGTTTCCTTCTTTTTATTCTAACAGCTCCTTATAATTATTGTTCTGATAAGAAATTATCATTTTAACAGCTCTTTATAGTTAGTGTTAGAATGAGAAGGTTCATATTATAAAATTATTCTAATAGCTCGTTATGATTAGTGTTAGGATAAGAAAGTTTGTATTATAAAATCATTCTAACAGCTTGTAGTTAGTATTAGGACGAGAGAATTCATATTATAAAATCATTTTAACACTTTTTAATAATAAAATTTAGTATTTTGATTATAGATATTTGTACTATATATTAAAATTTCATAAAGAATCTTTTTTTTTTGCCAATATGCTTATTACTAATATGTATATTAGTCTTTCAAATTCATATAAATCACATGTGCTATATTAATTATTCAATGTAGTACTTAAAATAGTCTTTATATTAATCTTTAACTCAATGGTGAAAATAAAAACATGCGCTGATGTGGTATAATAAGGGATCCATCAACTCACTGACAATCACTTCGTAGACACCACATTTCACTGACAATTACTCATCGACAAGTTCATTTTACCGACAGTCTATTTTACCAAAGCTCATTTTACAGACAAAGTAATTCTGGTTATCATTAGAGTTAGGTTAGAACTAGAGTTAAAGCTAGTGTAATTTTTAAAAAAAAACTTGTCAGTGAAAGAGCTTCAGTGAAATAGACTATTAGTAAAATGAACTTGTTAATCAATAATTGTCTGTGAAATGTGGTGTCTATAAAGTGATTGTTGATAAAACAATACAGACTGATATTTATTTATTAAAAAAATTTTGCTACTTTATTGATCTTGCTTTTGGTGATAGACTTTCGGTATGAGAACTGAATGAATCTCTATAATTGTTAAATTGAAAAGAATGCAAACAATATAATGTTTTATTGTATTGTCTGTTTTGTCTCGCTTAGTGATATGGGCCAATAACAAAGCTTTGGGCCGGGGCTGACACTAATATAATGTGGCCCAGTTGACCAGGCTGACTATTTTACAGTAAAAAATTTTAGCCAAATGTAAAGTTCACAGTATACAATATTCATATTGATACAAGGCTAACATTCTGATAAATATAGTAGGTTCTAGAAAATAGGCCCTTTTATATTAATCAAAATGTTTAGCATGAAGCACATATTTTAAGAAGGATCATGGTTTATTATAAAGTAGTATAGTCATAGTAATCTTCTTACATTAAGTTTACACCATTATTGGCTCGTTATTACAGAATCATTATACCTATTAAAAACTTTGTACTATTCAAAATTTCAAGTATTGGTTGGAGCCACTGTTCTCCCGAATCAGACAATACAAGATGTAACTTATAACAATTTGCTAATTTAGGAAAATACAGAAGGCACCAGATAGATATATGCTTATTTTTGTTATAGTGATGAGAAAAAATCTTCACTATAGTTTATATTGAGAGAATACTATATGTACTTCACTATATCAAATTGAAATTTAATAATTTCAGAATTCAAAAAATTCTTCATTATATCAAACCTTCACCATAGTGAGAGTTCGCTATAACTAGAGTTCACTATTTCGCAATTGTTTTTGACGATCACTAATTATCATTTAATCAGCCTGATAAAAAATCCTATAAAAAAAAATGAAAAATGCCAAATATCTGATAAATAGACAAATCAATTTGCATCGGGTTACCAATTTTTGTGTATAAAATCTTTGCTTTTAATATCATCAGTTATTGCAATTGTGATATTTCTCATGTTTGCAAGCTCTTTGAATTTTAAATTAGAATTCTGTATTTGCACTGATCTATACCATATATTATTATAGTTAGAAAGCATACAAATATACATGTGAAAAACAAAGTGTGACAAATCTATTATGTAAAGAATAAAAAAAGGCGACAAATAAGTTATGCGGACCAATTAAACTTAAGATTTCCATATAGCCTTACACTTCGTGATTTGCATCACTCCGTTCTTGGTTTACATTATGTTAAGTTTTAGCAGTGTACAATGTGATGCTTGATATGTGAAAAATAAACAACATGTGACAATTAGAGTCACATGGACCAATTATATCTAAGATTTTGCAGATACACACCATTTCGCTCTTTGTATAACTATACACTATTAAGGTAGCTGCACGACATAGTCGCGCTAGAACTAGGAATATACTAAGTATTACACTACAGTTTGTATGCTGTTTATTTTTAAAAATTAATATATTTTCATTTTAATTACTGATTCTGACTTGAGATCACAATAAACCTAAGTACGATCACATGAAATCCTATATAATAATTTATTCATTTTTAGAAAGTTATGATTTTCAATTGTTTAGTGCATCGATTGATAATTATAAGGTAAGTATAATACTTACCATTATAGAAAATATAATACAGTCAGACCTCTCTAAGTGCATGTCCTTGGGCCACGCGCTTATAATATGCATATAGAGAATAAGTGCATTTTTGGAGGTCAAGAAAATATTTGGGCCGGCACTTGAGCTTAGAGTTAATACCTCAATCCGGATATAAAAACATTAGTCGCATTATATCACATGACATAGTATATATCCGGATAGAGGTATTAACTCTACTTGAGCGTGCATTTAGAGAGGGTGTGTACTTAGAGAGGGTGCATTTATAGATGGTTCACTTAGAGAGGTCTGGCTGTATCATGATTTCTACTAGAAAGATTTTTTACAGAACTTGCTCTATTCTGATAACTATAATTTGTTAAAATTGAGCTAGTTTGCATCGGAAATTATAATTTTGATGTGATTAAGGTCGAGTTAGTTGTATTAGAATTATGTCTATTACAGAACTCACCTACAACCACAATATACAAATACTAATAAACGAACTCATTATTATTTTCGCACAGTCATATGTATAATGTACGTAAAGTACACACGTAACAATTCATAATAATTTAATGGAATAGTTATGTAATTTGTAAAAGTATTAGCATTTTCTAAAATGAATAAATGAAATTCATTATTCCTACCAAAAAAGGAATTTTCAAAAACAGCATAGCGACATCAAAAAAGTTAAACAGAACCATCTTCATATATTTTTTATCAGAAGTTAGCTAAAATTTAAAACCCGATCTTACTTTAAATGGCAAGCCCATTGATTGAAATAATGAAATGATGATTGGCTTACATGTGCTGCACAGTGGCACATGCAAGCCAATCATTTACTAAGGAAGAACGGAATTTTTTATCTTATGATGCAATATCGTATCAAGAAGATAACGTAACCCACATAATTAATTTTCTCACGTTTCAGTTCACATTTTTTGGATTTGATCCAAAAATATAAAAAAATAAAAATTTATCTGTGAATTAATCGACTGTAAAAATAATCTTGCCTGTAATTAAATTCTCTGCAAACTAAATTGTCTAGTAATTATTGGTAAGTTGATTATGATGTGAAAAAAAGCGTTAACCGCATATTACACCATCACAGCACTTTAATATTAACACGTAAAAATGTATCGGTACGTATAAATAAAGTTAACTATACAGCACATTAAAAAGGATAGTATGTTACACCAGCACAGAACTTCGAAATGTGAAATTATAGATTTTCATTCAATGTCCAATCAAATGCAAGATTTTGCGAACTCGCCATTCTAGATGGCAGGAAACCATACACTCCGTCATTTGCAAGACTACGTTCCTGGTACGTGATATGCATCACTCCGTTCCTGGTAATACTATATCAACTATAATTCATTAGATATTCAAAATATGCTATTTAGTTCTCATTTAAACTACATACCTTCGTTCCTGGTTTCTAGCGTGACTGCGTCGCGCAGCTACCTTATTTTTTAATTACTTTGATTATCATTTTAAGGTTTAATAATCAACGCAATAAATTAAAAAATTGTAATATTTTTAATTTTATTGTAATGATTACTAAACCTTAAAATGAGAATCATAGTGATTAAAAAAAGTCACTTTTCAGTTACTTTTCACCAACTCGATATATTTAACTTTAATCATACTCTTACTGATTACTAACCAAACCATATCGTTCCTTACTCTTACTCTTCTAAAAATATGCTAGGTCACTTTTTAATATAACTATCAAGCTATTAAAATAATGTTCGGCATGAAAGTTTTTGTCAATAATATATTTCACGCTTATAAAAAAAAAAAAACAAAATTTAATGTCACTTTTATATTCATTGCAAAATTTAAATTACTAAATTACCTTATAAATTTTAAATTAATAAGAAAAAAATCTAGCTTATCTATTAAAAATGTTTTATCATTTAATTAATCTCTCATATCCATTTTTATATTCATAAGAAAATTTTCTTAGTTATTTATACATTATTTAACATCATTCTTATTGAACTGAAATACGGTCACTGTTTTTGAGATAGCTCCACTTTGTCAGAAAAAAAAAAACATCCTTTAAAAAAAAAAATACTTCTCTTTTAGATACTCATTATATTCTTTATGATGCACTTTTTACTCTCTAAATTTTTGAATTCTTTAATTCAAAGAGTTTATTATACTGAATAGCTATGCATTATATAAAAATAGCTTATTAGCTAAATTACTCATATCGTTATTTACTTTTTTAACAAGTCAAATTTCGATCTTATAAATCTAAATTTTTATTCTTATCTTTCTTTGTAAATGTTTATAATAAAATATCGCTAAGAGAAACATGCATTATAAAAATAAATTATGGGATTCGTAATAACTTATTTTTATATTTTATAAATACTTTTAAAACTCTTATAAAAGAACAATTAATCACTTGAACACAATAACATCTATTATCTTCCAATTTATAAATAACGTATTTCAATATTGTAAATTAACACTGAATACATATACATTGCACTTAGTTATAACTCTTGAATCATTAATTAATATATGCATATATTAGACCTAAAGATTAAAATAACCTTAAAATCTTCTCTTCTTCTACTTCTCTGTTCCTGGTTTCGCAACTGCGTTGCGCAATCACTTATTATGGATTAAGTATTATTAATTCCCCATAATGTATGTGCAAAACCAACTTGAGCATTTTCAATATCAAAAACAACCTGTTATAAAAAAAAATATAAAAATTTGATTAATTGTCATTATTTGGAGCTACTATTACATAAGTCACTTAATTATATGTAATGGCCAAATTAAATTATATTTATGAAGTTACATAGTTAAAGCATACTAAATAGAGATGTATTTCTCATGAAATAAAACTAGCTTATATTTTACACATTTCATGAGACAATCGTGCAAGTTTGCATGATTCATGTGATGAAAACTCATTTCAGGATAAATGTTAAAAATTTTCATAGTCTATCTTGCACAAGAAATATTATCATCTTACGAAAATTGTCAAACGTTAGTTTTATCATCACACGCAAAGTACATCTCTAGTCCTAAGTAATTTTATATTAGTCACATACATCTGTTTTCATAAAGCCAGGTAACTGAAAATTTTCTCATTTTCTGAAACTTATTCAATTTTGTTCTAAAAATTACATAGTTTTTTGAAAACTACTTTATGTCCTTGGAACTTAAATACAGAGTTTCATAAAGTTAGGTAATTATTATAATGATATCGAAGTGGTTTGAAAAATGAGTAAATTTTTAGGTATCCTAAAATTTATGAAAATGGCTATAATCAATTTAAATACTACCTAGGTTTAAAGATACATCAAAACAATGAGAGTTCATTTACGTAATACCCTAAATTATAATTTAATTTGTTATATCCGGATTTACGGATGTTTTATCTAACTTCCCAAAAATTACATTGCTATCTCTGGAAAGTTTAGGTGGCCTTTATGATAAGACAAAAGACCCTCTAATAATTACAGCTGCTTTATAAATTCTGGAAATTGAAAATATTCCAATGACAGATTAGACAAGTTACTGAAAGAATCGATAAGTATCGATTTCTGAATGAGCTCAGAAACTTATCTATTTGGTTATCATCAATTTTTTAGTTATCTCAGATTTATGAAAACAGCTATAAAAATCCAGATATAATTTGATCCGGATCTAATGATTAAATCCGAATACAAATAATTAAACAGGCATTAACTCCGGTAATATCGAATCCAGATTTCAGAATATAGAACATGTACGTATGTATGTACGTACGTACGTACGTACATATAGATGATGACCAAACTATAATCACATGTCACATAGTGGCTAATAATGCCGCTAAACACATAAGCTAAGTTTTTCTTTTGTCTATCATATTAACTTACGGACAAGAGATTTAACTATATGGTATAAATTGGGTCGTATATTGCAAGAGATAGTTTACAAGTTTGACATTCATTTAATAAATAATCGATATTGCACCTGCTGTACTATCTTATCAGTATTCTTGTTAGGCTTATGTGATTATAGTCATGTTATTATAGTCGCGTAGCCACTGTATGCGAAATTTCTTAAATACTTTTAAATTTTTTTTTTATAAAGTAAAAGAGGTCATTGTACTTAAATCAAGTAATTCAAGCCTCCCTAATGTATTATATACTAAAATTTACAACTCACATAGTTTTCTGACATAAAGGGGATCCCAAGAACCCAATACGGAAGGTGTGTAATCTTTAAGAAATTGAAAGAATTAAGACCATAAATGTTGAAACTTTACATAGGTGTTTGTTAACTTACATTTGTGTCAGTGAATCCTGCATAACAGGTTGTACTCCCGCTCTGAATAGGTATAGCATACATATAATCAAATGCTGTTACAATAAACCAAATAATATTAGCAGAAAAATGCTACAAAAAATAAAAAGAAAAAAAAAATACATACGATTTATTAAATAAGGTTCTTCTCCAATCATGACCCATCCAAAAATAGTGGAACTACATGGTCCAATGTATCCGTATTGTGGATCAAATTTACCACCTACAAAATTTGTAACGTTATTTGCAAATTCTATACTAAAAACCATCTGAGGATTTGAAGAACTAAGAACTGCAGCCTGAGCCATGTTATTAAGTTTTATATTAGGAGTATTGTCACTAAAACCTATTCCTATTCCTAAATTATAAATATATATAAATTTAAAATTTAAAAAATATTTTAATATTATAAAAACAGAAACAGAATATTTATGCATATTTACCATTAATATTTATTTTCCAAAGACCTCCTATTTAAAGATGTTATGATTAGTTGTTAGAAAAGTATGAAAGAATAGTGAAGAAAGAAGCAACCTTGATCTATTAACGGTGTCCAAATAATATCATTTATTATCATGTTATTATCGTAGCCTCCAAATGTAACTATGCCACCGTTGATTATAAATTTAGGACATACGTCACTCGCACAGAACTGTATAATGAAATTCAAGATCAGCCTCTTATGTTTACAAAAAAGTTTTTTTTTTTAAATACATACTTTTCGTATATATTGTGGAACCATTAAGTAGCTAAACATTTTCTTGGTTATTAAACCTATTTGAAATCTCGAATTAAAATCTATCAAAATTTTACATTGAACAATATCATGTGACTTGGCATTGTTTTCTGAAAAGGCCATGTCAGAAAAAATGTTAATTACAGAAGTAATAGTTATTTTCATTGTTACGAATTGTAACTGATTATTCAATCTCATGATGATGTCGATGAACATATCATAACACTAGTCAAAATAAAAAAATCAACATCACCCTATTTGAAATTATATTAATTGGTTGCCGAATGTACTGAGTTTCGTTGCCATTCTGTTAGTATTCTGCCAAGCAACTAGATGAAATTTGGCATAGTTTGCAGATGCTCTCAGCAGCTAATTAACCTTATTTCAATCAGAATGAAAATATTGAATTTATTACTTTCGACTAGGGTAACGCAGTATTCATCAGCTATCATATAATATCGCTTAACCGATAATTGGGTTTTGACATTTTTTTTCTGACATGGCGTTTCATTTAACGATAGGTTTAATAAATAGTCACTAGGGTTTAGTGAATCGGTTTATCTTTGGTATGTTAAAAACTGATTTCAATTGGTTTCAATATATGAAATAAAACCAGTTCAAAACTCTAAATATCTATATTATATAAAGTGACTAGCATGAAAGGCTCACCTTGTGACATTAGAGATGAATAAAAGGTTGTACAATTTTCAGAGCTGCAATTTTTTTCATATCCTGGTAATATTTTCTAGTAGATTAGTTTCAAGATCATTATTTTATGATAAAGTTTGCACTTACCAAGTCCAAATATGCTCGTGACTATTGAGTCCGTCTTCAATTTCGTATTAACAGAATCCACCAGACCAAACAAATGTGATACATTATAACCATCAATTTTAATGAGATCCGCCCCATATTCGTAAATGTGGTATCGTCCAATGTTTTGAGAAATATTATTGTTGTATTTGTATGATGAACTCTGCGCTGCATCAAAGCCAAAGCCGCCGACACAATCATTACATAGGGAAGACTCGATAAGAGTATTCTTAGTTTCAAGATCATATGTGGGGGTGACAGATTGTGAGGGGCTTCCTATTTCAAGGAATGCAACCCACTAACAAAGCACATATAAATATAATTAATGTTAATATATATGTAATAAAAATACCCTGTGATCTTGATATAGTGATCGGGTATTTCAAAAAAAAACCCCAAGAAATAGAATAACATACTACTGGAAAGACAGGGTATATGTCTAGCGTAGAATTAATATCTTGTTCTTTAATTCTAGCAGTTTCAGATAGTTTATACGTAAGACTTTGAGTTATCAAATTTTGAGTACAGTTTACTAGCAAAGTAAGTTTCAGGAGCATATACGCAAGCAAAATAATTTGAATAATTGTTTTCATAGTGAATCTTTGATATATTATAAGGCTAAAAAAATATTTTGAAGTTGAAGAATGCTTTATTTTGACAAAATTTAACGAATTTTGATCCGATTTGTTTTAATCTGCCACATTAAATAAGAATAATATGATAGCTATATACGTTAATATTTTCATTAGCAAATCTTTTAGATATCAAATATCAGTTATTTATAATTAGTAAAGAGGATCTGGGATTATTTACTCGGTTTGCAAAATAATGTACCAAATAAATCTATTAATTATAAAAATTATGAACAATATATTCATAAAATACGCATACACAAATTACATACAAAAAAATGAAATGAAATGTATAGCATGATATTCATGTAACAAAATAAAGCTTTACGTTCCTGGTCTTAGCGTGACGACGTCGTGCAGCTACCTAATAAAATAATAAAATTTATTGTTATCGTCTAAGCCTCTAAAAACCCGTACAGTTAATAAATTATAATCTATCACGAGTGTTCTATACATTTTTACCAATCATTTAATTTCGTGTGAAAAATAAGGTACAGCTTATATTCATAATTTATTTTGAATTACCGATATATTTTAACGTTAAAAATATGAGTTTTCATGGCTGTGGGAGTAAGCCTGATCCTCAAAAACGCATAAAAAATTAGAAATGTCATAAATTTGAATAGTTTTATGGCATTTACTGCTTTTATCATGATGACTAATCCATACAGCAGATCGTACGGAATGACTTTTAAAATAAGTATTTTAGAAATTACAGAAGATCTGGATAGTTAGACAAAAAACTTTATAGTAAGAGTGTGTAAAATACAGTATCTACTATATAAGCGTGAAATAATGCCCACCTGTGTGCTAATTAATTGACCTGCACATTATTTCAAAATAAGAGAAGATTTTCTAAATTCAATATAGTCAACCTTCAATAAACGCATATTGTTGAGTAAAGGTGCATTTATAAAATATTTATTATGAAGAATAATCTACATATAATATTTAAATAATTATATAAATTATGTGTATTTATTATTAGTGTATGTGAAATGCACTTATAGAGTATATGCATATGGAGTATTGACTATATATCTATCGCAACAGTAAATTATATGCTATATTAAGATGCGTGTTAATTCGGGATATCCATGAGCACTAATTCAAGACCATATTAGTTGGTTTTGAAGGTCCCAATTTTCAAAATAATGCCTATAAGCATTACTTTGTGCTTATATGATATTTTAAAACATACTATGTAGATCAAAAGAAGAAATCACTACCGTAAATAGCCAGATACAAAACCCAGGTCCCTTACATTCCACCAATTTTAAAACCTATAATAGACCCAGGGTTTAGTATGCAGCTGAGAGCTCATGTCACTAAAAAGAAAACTTTGAAGAGCATGTACATTTTGCATTTATAATAGGTAGTCCAGATATTTGAAAAAACTCAGGTTTAATTAATATAGATCTTGTGATCTGCATTCTAGTATACTACCTAGTGGGTCTACTATTTAAAGAGATCTTATATTTGGCTATTTATAGTACTACAACTTATATAACCTACTGTCATGATATTCAAAATGAAAAATAACACCCACATTTTCTACTATGGGAAATAAGCTGGTAAATCTCCAGTTATATAGGATCCCAATAGGTTATATAAAGACCCAAAGGGTTCTTATATAACTGAGAACATGTCTCTTATTCCTGCTGTTGTGAAAAATAAATAGTGCTTATTTACTTTTAATTTGATTTCTTATTTTATTGATTTAGTGGTGATGATTATAATAGTGAATGTATTTATGATAAGTTATTTCT